GAAATTAATATTATATGAAAACTCATTACTCCTTCCTTTGTGCTGTCTTGTTATTGATCAGCACCAGCTCTTTTGCCCAGAAAATAAAATGGGAAACCGGTGGCGATCTCGCCTTCCTGAAAGGCCAGCAATCCCTGGCAACTGGTTATGATTATTCAAATGTTACCGTTAAAGGCGAAAGCCAGGAAGCCTATGTGGCCGCGCAAAAAGGTGAGCTGAATAAAGACAAGGCGGGCGAAGGGGATGTATTTGAAACAGAATGGACTTCGGCGCGTGCCCAGAAGTACCAGCCCGCTTTTGAGAAACTGATGAATAAGCGCCTGGAGTCTGATGGGATTGTTGTGAAAGCGGAAAATGGTGCTAAGTATAAAGTAGTACTGGTAACCGGTGATATGCAATTGGGTAAAGGGAAAATGTTTGTGAAGAAGCCAGCCCTGGTCAATTTTACAATTATGATCGTAGAGGCGGCGAATCCCGGTAATGTGCTGGCAAAAGGGATATTGGAAGAAGTGGCTGGTGAAGTGAACGCGCCCAAAGGGTCTGGCTGGATACCGGGCGGGGCAGGGACCGCTATGTCGGTAACGGCCAATGTACAAAACCGTGATTATACGAATCGTATTGCCAAAAGCTATGAAAAAGCAGGGGAGATCCTGGCGAAAGCCATTCATAAGGTTTTGTAACCCTAATATCGTTTAGTAAAAAGAGTTAAACCAAGTCCCCTGACTTAGCTTGGGCGGGGTGCCGTCCCCCCCCCGACGGCCGTTGAAACAGCCAATGCACTTACTAAAAGACATTGGTTTTGTAGCCCTGATGTCGATTGTAAAAGTTAATACCGTTGTTGGTGTTGTGATGCGGAAAACGGTATCAGCTTGATGGCAAAAAAGATAATACTCATTCGTCTGTTGGCAAATGAGTATTATTTATTTAAGCTACGAGGTCTTTAGTAACCTGACGTTGACACTGCTTCTTTTGATATAATTCTATAAATTGAATTGCAAATTCCAACCCAGGTTACGAAGAATTTTAAAATCCTTCGTTGAAGATCGGATCGTCATTCCTTAAGCCGGCAAGGCCAGTCTTGCCGCCAGCCAACTATCTTTCAGGCGAACCAGCCAGTTTTCCAAAAGGTCTTTCTTGGTACCCACCATATTATTGAATAGTGGCGTGGTGCTATTAATATAACCCTTGTCAAGCGCATATTGTACCTGCCCGATCGGCAGCATTTGCGCTTTCCCGTTTACGAGGAAAGTGAGCACCAGCCGGTCGAACATATTTACACTATACTGGCGTTCGATGCTTTTAATAATACGCACCATCCCATCGGTACTGCAACCGCTGACGTTG